AACATTGCATCATAGCAATGAGGCCACAAATTTCACTAGGGAATCTGCTATCTCTGGATTGAGGACACTTTTTAAACCAAAGCAATATGCACAAGCCTCTAATCTGGGATGAAGCACCACTAATTGCTAAACACTGAGGAACCGCAGTAACCTGCCGCGTCGGACACCCTAGGCTGGAATTAGTGAAGATGAGCAGGTACAGCCTGTGGAGCAGATACCGGAGCTCGGCTCACCTGACCTGTGCTACCTGTACGTATGTGTCTGCGTTCTTTCACTCCACATTCCACCAAACTGTTTGACATTCAGATAGGAACATTATGAAGACAGACAGCTCTATTATAAGCCATTCTGTGCTTTCCCCACCATCCCTTTGTTCTACTATTACTGCTATAGCAGGGCTTCTATGCAGAAAGTGATCAGCCACACTTTTAAACACACACTCAAGGACAGAACGCTTATAAGAAGAGACATTTTTAAAAGGATATCATACACACACGGCAGGCAAAAAGACAAGATGGCGGAAGGCTGCACTGCCTGAGGCAGGCTATAAATACTGACCCAGTCAGAGAACGTCTCTGTCTCTCCACACACAAACACCACCTCCAGCGGTTCAAACACATACAGACACACACACACTCCAAATCAGAAATCGACCATGCGAGAAATTCAGCAACAGCAGCATGTCTCACACTGAGTCCTGACCAGTCACAATATGATAAAATAACAGCAGCATGTGATACAATGTTCTCTTCTGTGTTAACCTGTGCGCAGCAAGCAGCATGGCATTTTGTCGATCGTCCTGTCGCACTTGGTAGCCCCGCTCACAGTCAAATCTCATTGGCCTAAAACCCAGTTCTACAAAACTGTTTATTAAACAAATGTTCACTACTTTTTGCACAGTGCTAAGTTAAATTGACATTCGACAAAAAAGACGTGCACCTGAAGATACAATTATATTTTGATGGAAAAACTAAACAAAAGGCCTAAATTTGTCAGATTAGCTGCTTGATCCGCGACTCTCCTTGTAGCAATTGTAGTAAAAGTCAATTTTCAATAAAATAAATGTAATCGGGCAGAGTAAATGGTGCTATCCTTTCACGCACACATACATGCAGCAGTGCAAAAACCTAAAGAAAAGAAAGCAGGAAGGCATCAGCATATTGGTGAGGATTTGCATCACCATTTGTGGGATTTTGTAAAAATAGTTACCTTTGTACAAGTGCACCAATTCAACCGCAGTGGCTTTGGTTCTCTTTGCAAATCAGCGGAGCTTCTTTTGAGAGCCTGATGTTTCTCAGAGAAACACTGACTCTCCTGCGACGCTGCTGACTTACAAGAGTTGCTGCTCATGCTTTCCTGAGGTTTAGGAGTGAGTCAAAAATCAATAAAACTGCTATACAATACAATGCCATTCAAACAGTGGCACAGCAGTCTCAGCAAAATATTGTAAAGAATCACAAACAAAATTAAGACACTTCATTCTCAATAACTACCAGATATTGTTTCTCAGTATGTGAGTTTTCTGAGAATAGTATGGCTCTACTGAAAAGTATAATATAGCCTAGACTTGTGATTGAGTCTGAGCTGGTTTCTTGCTACTGCATGACTCTAATAAAACTTTTTAGAATCTTTCAAGATGTGATGACATGCAGAGTGCAAACCTTCGTAAATCCAGCAATTAGTGTACACAAACCACTATGTCAAGTAAACAGTACCCACTCAATCACATTCCTCAAGATACAACGCATATGTAAAAATTCAATAAATTTCAAAGTATCCCAATATCATAATTGGATTCAAACCGAAACTGACCTGTCAAGTGGGTCAGACCACATTATAAAAATGACAATCTCAGAGTTTATGCTTATTTAGACAACCAGCTTCTTTATAACTGAAAAGTAGGGCAAATGGTATGTTAGACAACCAAAAGTATAAAATAAGTGTGCAAGACAAAGTACCTGTTGCTGAAGTGGAAAAAGGGTGCCTGAACCGAAAAAAAGAGCAGAAACAACTGAAATAGCTGGTTTAGCACATCAAATACCAGCAGCAAACCTGATTAGTCCATGAGGTATGCGTGTATGAGATTGAGATAAGACAATGAGTTAGAAAGTGAAAGAGAAAGAAATAGCTTGGGAGTAAAAAGAGAGGCAAGGAGGAGGATTTTTTCAGTTGCCTGAATATCTGCCGAGGTCTTTGAGTTTCTCTGCGGCCAAAACAAAGAGACTTGAGCTGACAGGAAACTTAAGCAGGTTCTCACTCTTTCTTACACACAGTTCCATCACTCTCTTCCTCCACTAACACAGACACCTATGGCGGCTTTCCATCAAACTTTTTTCTTCTGTTATTTCTCTGTTCATTCCACAAAAATAATCCGTTTGGCAAGAGCACGTCCCTGTGAATTTCTCCAGGTTGTGTGTGTGCATATGCCCCTGTGTGGGGCCTCCTGGGCCTCTCTTGAAAAGAAAAAGTTGGCTCTGCAGTCATCTACTGCTCACTCTGTACCAAAGCACAGCGCCGCTTCCTCCAGGAGTCTCTCCAAACGTTCATGCCTCAGAGCTTAGCTTCACCTTTCTCTAATGATGCAAACGCACTTTAGGTGACATCATACCGAATTTAAAATGTCCATTCAACACTCAGTGAGCAGCACATATTCAATATACTTTTTACTAGGGGGAGGCACGGTCAAAATGGTCAACTAGTAGGCGATAAATGAGGTCAACTACTTTTTTTTTCTTTTTATGTGGCTTTAATGTTTGTAGTGGCAGTGCTTTAAAGAGATTTGCAGTGCAGAGTAAGCTATAGCTTAATCACAATTTTTCTGTGATTAAGCTATGTTTGTGCATTTATACTAACTTCACAGAGAGCGCTTGAGCATGCTGAAAGACTAAAAGAACTTGTGTTGAGCCTTCAAACGTCACAGCTTTAACAAATTTCATGACAATAATTGTCAGTCTTCAAATCGCATGCTGTTATTACCATGTAGGTCTCGGTGTTTATAATGACTGATGATTTTGGTTGCATAATTCAGTCATGTTGTCAGTTACCCCACTGAACAAGTGAGATTAGCATCTATACATCTTAAAAACACATCTGGCATCTGATAGACATGCTCTAAACCAGTCTAGATATACAGAGCTTTCTTAAAAGTTTAATTCTGTCAATAATTCGAATTGATATTTTGAAGAACGTTAGAAACCAAACAATTTATTTCCACTGTAGGAGCAGAAAAATTAGACATTTCTCAAAATATCTTCTTTTGTGTTCTACAGAAGAAGAAAAAAAGTCATACATACAGTTTTGAAAACTCCAGAAAATTCATTTTTGGGTGCACTATCCCTTTAAGACCAACTAATTGTTCAAACAGCCCACTAACTTGGGCATTTTTGCACATCCATAAAACTTTAATCAACAAAAGCCACATTAACAAGGAAATTCATTTGGCACAGTTCTCAGATCACTGTATCTATTTATTTGTATCACATTTGTCAGATTATAAGAGATCCATCACACAGACAATATCTTGAGTTTAGAAGGCTTAGACATATAAAGGTAAACATCGCTACAGGAGGGTTATGCTACACTATCACCTTCGACAAATCCTTTTCCACAAACAAGCACTTTGGTATATCTCACTATTCTTTACGCAGAAGAAATCTAACACGCATGTCGAGCCACCCAGCAACCAGTCAGCTGAATTCAAGATCTAACAGGAAGAAGGAAGAGACATATCCTTATCAGCTGACGATAATGTGTGCTTAGGAAGCGTGGCCCAAGAGGGGGATAAAGAAAGATGTGAAACAAAGCAAAACCATATTAGATCTAATTAGCAGAACTCTGCAAATGCCCCTTGAGCACCCCGATTAAAGAAACTAAAGATTCTTAGCATTGACTCACACAGTGACATAGAAATTTGGGGGATAAAAGTGTGAAAGGACAAAGAGTATTTTGCAATGGAAGGTCCCTGTGAGCACTAAACCAGCATTTCTTCCTGCGTCAAGTCTGATGTTTGAGAGTTCCAGCATTAGCAGATGCTCTAATGAGATTTATGACAGCCCTCAAAAAGCCCTTTCTGCGGTCTTAAATTTACTGCCTCCTACCTCACCCCTCTCAATGAAGGGAGCATAACCTGTCCTATGGGGCGAGGAGTCCTGAACCATACACGTCAGTACATAATTTTCTCTCTTGCTCTCGCTGTCTCTCTTCCAGTGCGGTCACTCTCACTTCTCCTTTAATTTGGATCATGTCTTAGACCTGCTGTTTAACAATGATTTAACTGAGACTAACATAGGACAGATACAATTGTGATTGTATGAATGTGTGTTTTTTTTCTTCAACTACAAGAACTTTTATGTCCTAGTGGTTAATGTTTTTCAGCTTTTTTCTTTTTGTAAAACTTTTCGCTATCATTTAATTGTCTACTTTGCAAATGCTTTCAATGTATAAACTTTATAGTTTTATACTTGTCCCAGACACAGATTTTACAATAACAATACTGATAAAAACTGTGAACAATGTACGTAAAATATTTTATGTGTAGCACCATGTTTGTGAATGAGTCATTACAAATAAGTCAACATTACATTATGGAATATAATCCTGATTTACTGCAGGGACAGTTACAACTGCTCAATATCATTTACCTTTTAAATGTTTAAAAGCACAGATGTCTAAATCCCTCAGCAGTTCTCAAACATGGCCGATTGGTCTCTACCAACTGTTGCACTGTCTTGTTCCAATTAATTCGGTTCGCCCACATACAGTAAATAACTGCACAAACCCTGATCAAATGTACTGTTCACCTCTTCTCTACCCTCACGTTATAAAGATGCACTAGCCAGTTAGCATTTTACATTTCTGGAGCACATGCAACTTTTTCTTTTGCCACTCTAGTAGTGTTTGAGGAGATGCATGTGGTACAAACATATGTATATGGAGAAGATCCTAAACATTTTTTTAACTTTATGCTTCAGTGCAGCATTGCAAAGAGAATCATAACTGACCTTTGGTTTTCTGTTCAGCAGCCTATAAGGGAAGAACAAAAGTAGATAGAAATTAACACTTTCACAGGTCCAGCGTACAAAAGCTTCATAGCAAAGAAATTAGTAGAAATGACTAGAGGACCATAAATCTTGGAGAACATTAGATTGATTATAATTGATTGATTAACTATTTCAGTATTATGCTAAATAGAGATCTAGCTCAACGTCTGGTGCTAAATCAATCCAAAGAGCAGCAGGATGTGGCCTGTGTAAACTCAGTGAAAGTTGCATTAGTTAAAGCAAGATGAGAACACTGGCTTTGTAACTCCATGACGATGTCTAAGAAGTGATCACCATAATAACTGTCTGTGTTTGAACAGAGCTTCAAAGGCAGATGCTAAACGGATTGTTGTGAGCTCTAGGTGTCCCGTTTGGTACCTGTGGTTTACAATGGTGAAGATGTTTCAGAAGCTTATGACAGACTCAGTAAGGTGTCCGCTAAGCGGCTTTTATAAGAAGGATGCAAGTAAAGATACTATGAAAGCTTGTGGGTCACAGGAAAGAAACTGACCTTTTTCTGAGCAGCTTCCTTCTTTTTCTTTTCCTCTTGCTTTTTCTTTTTCTTTTCTTCCATCAAATGGTTCTCCTCTTGTGTGACGTGTTTTGTGCCAAGGCTGTGGAAAAGAGATCAGCTGTGTTATTTAGTCCCAATCTTTAAAACAAATACAGACAATTGACAAAGTAACTCTAAAACACATTATAAACATTTTTACCATAGTCTGTTTGAATACTCAATTCTGATTGGCTGGCAGGTATGCATTAAAACCCTTTAATGCACAGGTAGTTCCAAGTCAATTTAATCACCGTTCTATATTAATGCGCTGCTTTCGGTATTGACGCACACAAACACATCACTCGCACCGAGAGAGTGAGATCTGAGATCGTAATGCGCAGACACACAAACATCCAGAAGGACAGAAACACTTTATTAAAGGGGTGGTTGATTGTGATTTCACTTTTTTAATGTTAGTTAGTGTGTAATGTTGCTGTTTGATCATAAACAATATCTGCAAAGTTACGAAGCTGAAAGTTCAATGCAAACGGAGATATCATCTTTGAAACTTCTGGCAGTTTAATGCCTACAAAAACAACTGGTAAGGGACTACAACAAGTTACTTCCCGGGTTCATTATGTCAAGAACCCAGCATTTTACATAAACCCCGCCTCCGGGAACACGCAACAAAGGGGGCGAGGCCATGCTGCGCTGCTTTAGAGAAGAGGAAGAGAAAACTAGGGGTGCACGTAAAAATCTATTCATATATACACAAACATCCAGAAGGACAGAAACACTTTATTAAAGGGGTGGTTGATTGTGATTTCACTTTTTTAATGTTAGTTAGTGTGTAATGTTGCTGTTTGATCATAAACAATATCTGCAAAGTTACGAAGCTGAAAGTTCAATGCAAACGGAGATATCATCTTTGAAACTTCTGGCAGTTTAATGCCTACAAAAACAACTGGTAAGGGACTACAACAAGTTACTTCCCGGGTTCATTATGTCAAGAACCCAGCATTTTACATAAACCCCGCCTCCGGGAACACGCAACAAAGGGGGCGAGGCCATGCTGCGCTGCTTTAGAGAAGAGGAAGAGAAAACTAGGGGTGCACGTAAAAATCTATTCATATATAAATCGCGATTCTGTCTTCTAACGATTCTAATGGATTCACAAGTTTCAAAACGTTCTAAAGCAGCGTTCTCATCCTGTTCCTGGCCTCGCCCTGCTCACGCTCTGCATCTCTCTCTCATTCAGATCATCAGACCCGTGAATACACTTATTTTCACATAGCTATGAGAAGCGTTATACATGGATGCGCGTGGGGTTGCCGAACTGTATTAAAGCTTTAATCAGAATAAAACCGTATATTAAAAGCTAACAGAAGCAGTAGCATTTACAAATAACAGCGTATCTAAAAGTATGAGACAACAACAAACAAAAATCTTAGGCCTATCATTAAAAGCCATGCTTGCACAGGTTCTGCACGATCCTCATCAATAATATCTTCTGCTTCTCAATTGGGCTCAAATTGATAAGCAATACAGACGACATCATTATTTACAATAAAACCGGAGCACATGCCGCTATGTTGAGGGGCAGGACGTTTAGACGCGCGCTAGAGGCGGTTTAGCCAATCACAACACACTGGACTAGCTAATCAATCAGAGCCCATTGTGTATTTCTGAGGGAGGGGCTTCATAAAAGCAGGAAATGATCAGCACGTTCAGAGGAGAAGGGACAGAGCGGTGTGGAATAAAGATAAATTATGTGAAAAATAATGCGTTTTTTAACAAACGAAGCATTAACACATGTTAGACTGCACCCCAAAAACACAATCAAGCCTATAAAAAAACCCAGTCAACAACCCCTTTAATAAAACAGTTTCAATACTGGATCACTACATTATATTTCTCAGCAATGAGGAGGTAAAATCGCTGTTTTAAGTAACTAGCAGAGCTTCATTGTTTGCAGAGAGATGCACAGATGCAGGTAACTCGCACACACAACTGTCATCTCTCTCTCTCTCAATCGGTCGAGCAGTAATTCAAACAAATGTTGTAATTCATTCATTCAAATAAATGTGGTCTTACCGCACTATTTCATCTCTGTGTCTGATTTGAAGCAGGCAGAATGCAAGAGTTAACGAGCCGTGAGTGACAAAAGTAACCCTCATTTTTACCCTTCCGATCAAATGTTGCGCTGCAAACAACTTTAACAATTTTAACTTGTCAGTGCTGGCAAATGGCCATGGTATAAGCGGGATAATGCACGGCTAGCTGTGCATTAAACAATTTTAATGCACTCCACATTTGTGCATTAAACACATGACTTATTGTGCTCTACTTGTAATAAATAATTTTAGGATGTTTAGCAAAAATTATGTTTTCTAATGGCTAATTCATATGACATCACATTACCACCCATCAAACCAAGGACAGTTCAAGGTACTCAACAGTAAACTGATCAGAATAAAATCTAACAGACAACCAAATTCTCATAAATATAGCAAAATACATAGAAATTGGGGCTGGGTAAAAAAATATCGATATCTCGATATTAATTGATTCTCATTTTTACGGAACGATATCGATTCTTAAATCCCAAGAATCTATTTAGTCTAGCCTGTTTTCAGTTAATGGACGGAACGTTGAAGGGGACGGAACGTCCTATCCAATATATCGCAATAAGCACTTTGGTACTTTTAATATGAAACAAAGTCTCAGATTTCAAATTCTGTCCGTTGTTTTGCCGTATTCAAACAATAAATGCCGTTTTGGCGCTGTTTAATGTGAAGTGACAGATCGTTGGAGCACCTCAGATCAATAGACGTGACAGCACATGAACTGATCATCTCCTCCACATTAATAATACCAGTTTCAGCACAAAATAAACATTTACATTTAGACATTTAGCAGAAGCTTTTATCCAAAGCGACTTACAAATGAGGACAATGGAAGCAATCAAAATCAACAAAAGAGCAATGATATGCAAGTGCTATAACAAGTCTCAGTTAGCTTGACGCAGTACACGTAGCAAGTTTTTTTTTTAATTATATAATAAATAAAAAGATAACAGATAGAATAGAAAAAGAATAGAGCAAGCTAGTGTTAGAGGCCTTTTTTCTTTTGTTAATCAGAAGTCAGAAAGTCAGAATTATAATTGTATAACAAATAAAAAATATATATATAGAATGCAAAAAGATTAGAGAAGCAAGCGTTAGTTTTTTTTTTTTTTAAGAAAACAAACAGTTAGTTAAGAAATAGAGTGCAAGTCTTTTTTTTAATAAAGAATAGAATTAGAATAGAGAGTGCTGGAGTTAGAGGGTCAAATAAAGTTTGAAGAGATGTGTTTTTAACCGATTCTTGAAGATGGCTAAGGCCTCAGCTGTTCGGACTGAGTTGGGCAGGTTATTCCACCAGGAGGGAACATTTCATTTAAAAGTCAGAGAAAGTGATTTTGTGCCTCTTTGGGATGGCACAATAAAGCACCGTTCACTTGTAGAACGCAAGCTTCTAGAGGGCACATAAGTCTGAAGTAATGAATTGAGGTAAAGCGGTGCAGAGCCAGTGGTGGTTTTGTAGGCAAACATTAATGCGAGCAGCTATTGGTAGCCAGTGCAAACTGATAAACAGAGGTGTGACGTGCATTCTTTTCGGCTTGTTAAAAATAAATCTTGCTGCCGCATTCTGGATTAATTGTAAAGGTTTGATAGAACTGGCTGGAAAACCTGCCAAGAGAGCATTGCAATGGTCCAGTACAGAACAAGAGCTTGAACAAGGAGTTGTGAAGTATGTTCCAAAAGAAAGGGCCTGAACTTCTTGATGTTGAATAAAGCAAATCTGCAGATCTGCAAATCTGCAGTTTTAGCAATGTGGTCTGAGAAAGTCAGCTGATCATCAATCATAACTCCAAGGTTTCTGGCTGTTTTTAAAGGAGTTATGGTTGATGTGCCTAACTTGATGGTGAAATTGTCATGAAACGATGGGTTTGATTGAACCACAAGCAGTTCTGTCTTGGCAAGGTTGAGTTGAAGGTGATGGTCCTTCATCCAGCAAGAAATGTCTGTTAGACAAGCTGAGATGCGAGCAACTATCGTCGGATCATCAGGATGGAATGAGAGGTAGAGTTGAGTGTCATCAGCATAGCAGTGATATGAAAAGCCATGTTTCTGAATGACAGAACCTAGTGATGCCATGTAGACAGAGAAGAGAAGTGGTCCAAGAACTGAGCCCTGAGGCACCCCAGTAGTTAGATGTTGTGACTTGGACACCTCTCCAAGATATCTTGAAGGACCTACTAAACATAACCGAAAACATATATAAATGTGTTATACCTAAACATCCAAAGGCAAGTTAAAAGAAAGAGTACAACTTTACAATCCGTATCACACAGCTAAAATAATGAAGGAGTGGCTTCACAACAACTCTGTGACTGTTCTTGAATGGCCCAGCCAGAGCCCTGACTTAAACTCAATTGAGCATCTCTGGAGAGACCTAAAAATGGCTGTCCACTAACGTTTACCATCCAACCTGACAGAACTGGAGAGGATCTGCAAGGAGGAATGGCAGAGGATCCCCAAATCCAGGTGTGAAAAACTTGTTGCATCTTTCCCAAAAAACCTCATGGCTGTATTAGATCAAAAGGGTGCTTCTACTAAATACTGAGCAAAGGGTCTGAATACTTAGGACCATGTGATATTTCAGTTTTTCTTTTTTAATAAATCTGTAAAAATGTCAACAATTCTGTGTTTTTCTGTCAATATGGGGTGCTGTGTGTACATTAATGAGGAAAAAAATTAACTTAAATGATTTTAGCAAATGGCTGCAATATAACAAAGAGTGAAAAATTTAAGGGGGTCTGAATACTTTCCGTACCCACTGTATATGCAAGAGTTGAGAGATTTTTTTCCTTGAGAAAATTTGGCATGTATTGTACCTGATATATCCAAAATAATCGATATTGAATCGAATCGGTAACTGAATCAAATCACAAGCTTGTGAATGAGAATTGAATCGAATCGTGAAATTTGTGTACAGAAAAATTGTGTTCTGTAAAATATACAGAAAACATACAGTAAACACTGATAACATGCCAGATTCCCCTAATGAAACTGGCAT